AATTGATAGTGGTGTGTTAATACAATATTTTAATCAATCACAAGGATGTATTACAAAAACTGTGACTATAAACATATCAGTGTTAAAAGCAATCACAAATTCATATTATAATAATAAATATGGGTATTTGAAAAGCGGTTTACCTTTAATGTTAAAGAATTGGTATGTTTACAGTCTGGAAGATAGGTGTGCAAAATTATTATGAATATCATGAAAATGTAAATTTAAAATCGAATAATTTTGTGTTATACTGTAAAAATAATAAATAGATTAAATTGCATTTATAAAATTTAATTATTTTTCTATAAAATTTTCTTTATTTTTTGTATTTAAACAATTATTTTGTAATACCGGTATCCAAATTCGTTAATCGATAATGATTTTCTTTTTATTATAATGTTTTTTTTTTATTTATTTTTTTTTTATTTAAGCCTATACACTTTGATAATTATCTTCATGTTGTATGTATTTCATTGATGAGGACCCCTTCTGAATCAAGCGTCTCATCTTAAAGTATCCTCTGCTATGCCATATAATGTTATCAATTCTTTTTATTTATACAATTTGTTTTTAATGTACACTTGTATTTATTTGTATGGATAGCATTAAATACTACAAAACAAACTAACATCAGTGGACATAGTAAGGAATAATTTATTTGCTAACTTGAACTAATAAAATATGATAGGGTTCACTAAGTGTAAAGTCAAAAAAGTGAAGTGAGAATGGTTCAGCTTAAAAGAGAACTCAAGCCAGATTTTGCCCTAATCTTAAACTATGCTTCAATAATAATCTATATACTGTCCTGTTAGTTGTGATATATTGCTGTTGGTAGAATATAAATTAGTTAAATTAATGAAATATAATTTATAATTGTTTAAAGCTAACCTTTTATGCATTCATCTCATCATGATTTTTTATCGTTAATTAATTTAGCCAAAGGGATTCACTTATTGGGATGTTAATACAGTCTCAGTCACTTGCAGTCGCTTAGGTCATTTTACATAGTATAAAAACGATTATTATAAAAATTAATTTCCTAGAAATTCTGAAAATGATATCGCCTTACATAAAATTAATTAAAGAATAAATTATAAATATTTATGATATGTAATTGCGGTCACTGGTGGTTAGGTAAAATAAATAATAATACTAAGCAAAATGTTATGTTGTGGGTGTTTAATGCAGATTGATTTCGTTTTTATAAATAACAAATTATTATAAATTCAATTCCAAGAAAATCAGAAAAAACATATAGCCATACCAATATAAATGAAGGATTATTCATGATTTTAAATTGCAGTCTCTGTATGTTTGAAATAAAATAAATAACAATAAAATCAATCAAAAGGTTATGTTGTGGGTAATTTTGGAGATTGATTTCATTTATATAAAAAAAATATTATTCAAGCAGTTTACTTGATATTTGTAATGCTAAGTCAAACAGCCAATCAACCAGTGCCACGATTGAACCGGTCAGATGAAGGGCTATGGAGTTCATAGGATATATATAGCAGAGCTGTACATACCCAGCTTAACTACCGTACAACACGTACAGTAATGTGTGTGTGAGTAATTTTGCTGAGGTAGAGAAGCCAAAGACCCCATGGGAAGGGGGCATTAAGCCTGGATTATGAGGATGTAACGACAGCGATATTTAGGGCTATTTTGATGCGTGGTTGATGCGTTGATGTGCTGAGAAATACAATCATGATACACTAGAAGTAGGTCATCTTTGGCTTGGCCTGCCATTTGCAGCTACGCTGTTCAACTTACCCTGAAGGATGTTCTCGTTGATGGTGAAATCTTTGCTGTCTCACTATCAATCTACTGGGCTCGAACAATCCTGGTTTCTTCGCTAAGTGGGTCCTGTCAAAAAGCGCGTGATTAGTCAACTTTGTCTAGTCATCCCGTATCCTTTCTCTACCCATGTCAATCAATGCCTATTTCCTTATATGGCTATCTTTGACAAAAGTTGTCAGTCAAAATGATCGATGGATAAACTTATTGAAATGTTTTGTAATTCTAGCAATATTGTGATGATATCCAAGATCCAATGAACCTAGTTCTTGTTATAGGTGAACTGTATATTTCAAGGTTTCTCACTGGTTATTACATTTCAAATAATGAAAAAAGTTGCAAACATGAAACACTAAGCCCGCAATCTTGTTTCAATTTTTACTGAGCTTACATGACGCGGTAGAATCTAGAACGTAATGACGTCACTAATATTTCATCTGCGCATGTGAGAACGTTAAGTTTTCATCGTGTGGATTTTAGGATGCTATTTTGCAAAGGACATAGGGCTGTCACGCAAGAGTGAATCCGTTCTAGATTCGCATCGTCGTGCTACTAACATGTTGACAGAAATCCACATATCATACCTCTACTAGAATACACAACATTCATATAAAAATCTTGTATGTAAAAGAAATCTAAATTTTGAACTAAAATATCTTACTATGTTGTAGGCGACTCAGAAACATAGCATAATTTCACAACTAAATTTCGGACATTACTTCTAAGTTTGCTTGAACCATATTTTTGACATTTTGTATTTTCTTTACCAAGCACAAGCATTTTTAAGATGATAGTGATGAATAGAAACTAATTTTAACAAATGAAATGAATACAGTAGCACCTTCTTTAGACTAATACGGCTCTTACTTTTATTATTTAATTTTGACAAATTCGGAGGCCAAATCAACTTTGCCAAGAGTGAGATCCAGTAAAGAATTTTGCAAAGATTTTGCTAAGATACTTATGAAATTTATATTATATCTGAAAACCAAAATATTTGATATCTTATTCTTTGTGATAGGACCATTCCATATAAATGGTGCATTGCAAGTTAGGTCTCTATTTTCTTAAACAAAAATGTTTCCAATAGTGCTTGCTCCCGGACTCCCTCTGAAACCTGTACGACAAATCTCGCACAGACCAATGTGAACTATGTAGGACCTTCACTAATTTCACAATCATCAATACCCTTGATAGATTCGGATTTATTACATGCTAGTAAATGTCAGTATTAATAATTTAGTATGGTTGATTTTTGTTATTCTAATTAAAAACATTAAGCTTGATAAGTGTATAATGTTGCATCTTATAAAAATAGAGGGAGCTATTTATAGATATAATACCCACCTCTAAGTGATTCATAATAAATCATTAAAACAACTTATTTTGGAGGGGAGGTTAAATCAGAAATATATGTTTTTTCTTGTTGGAATTTGTATTTTCTGTCTTTTTTTTTAGCTTTTTTTCCCCTATAGGATCCTAATAACAGAGGGCAGTGTGATGTTGAGTGATGATAAATTTTTATTTTTCAAATCTATTTTTTTTCCTGTAAAATCAGTCAATAGAGGGCAGTATTATGTAGACTGATGATAAATTCTTATTATTTGGAATATAAAATGAATATTTGTATATTCTGATAAATTGCTTTTTTTATAAGGCTTTACATTTTTACTATTCTAGTAGAACTTATGATAGTAAGTGATAAAAGTTAGACTTAAGATATGAAAAAAGATTTTTCTGGCCCACAAACAAACACATAAATAATATCATTCTTTTATATTTTGTGTAGACGACTCCTATATTGGTTGGTAAACAATTCAATTTCAGGATTCTTGTACTGCAGTAAATTGTCTTTGAATCAACAAGCACTAAATGAAACTGGGTTTCTATTTTCATTCAAATACAAGAAAGGAAAATGACAATGAACAAAAGAACCAGATTACTGGAATATGCAAATAAATAATATTGTTTTGTTATACAACTGATTTTTGGTCAAGTTTTTATACAAAGAACAATCCAATAACAGCTAAATATAGTTTACAAAACATGATTGTCTGCCTCATAATTTTTACTCATGAATTTCCTGTTAATTAAACATGACTATTTTACTTTTCAAGAAATAACATTAAGAAAAGTAAAATAATATTTGAACTTTATGTCTTACATCGGAATTTAGTTTTTGATCCCTTGTCAATGCCTGTATTGTTTACATCCAAAAAGTGTGCCTGGTTCACAGCCATGTAGTTAGGCTCCAGATTAGCAGAGCAGTTTTTATGCCACCCTTCAGTCAGGAAGTGGATACGCCGCTGAAGGGGACAGGGTCGTTGAGGGTCAGCAAGCCTAGAGAGAATTCTAAGGATGTGACTTGTGGTTTGCTCTCGAAACGAGATGTTCCTAGAGCCATGGCCACCTTTGACCACTGCACAACAGATATACGACTACACCATTTACTACATAGATTTATATTCTATATAGGCCCTATATATAGCATAGTTACATGTACTTTACAAAGTACTTTGCTTTCTTGTATTAAATGATAAATAACACAGTGCTGGTAAGGGGGTTGAGGGCAACTAAACAAGTTTGTCTTAAATGTCACTGATATTATTGGATCTAAGATTAATATTATCTCGTTTCTAAATAGCCTTGTCATCTATCGTTGTTATAACGCCAAGAACTTTGCTCTCAGGTGGTAAAACGTTTGGTTTTTTTAAACTAAAAAGGTCAATTATTTGGTGTACATGTGCAATACAACATGTCTTGTATTCACCAAGAAAAAAAAAGCTTCCCACTTGTTAAAACGACTCATGGAAAACCAATATCCATTATTGGCATTGTGTAAATGTTCCTTGTTGGAAGAAGGTGTCAATTATGCGTTCTTTTATGAAATTTTATCAATTATTCAATTGTGTGCGAAATCTGTGTTTTTTTATTATTATTTTAATTGTCTTTCACTTTTTACATTTTAAACCTTTCTTTTCATATACTCGCTAATAATAAGTTTAGTTTTCTGGGGCTCCAGACTTTTGTCATGGTGATTTTGTTGCTTTTGGGGCCCCAAGACACTTGTCTAAATAAATAAATAAATGAAATAAAATGAAAGTGGCGCTCATCATTAACATTCCGTCATTATAATTCTAACTACCAGCAGGAAAATCTGGATCTTAATTTTGGTATCTTTTTTCTTCTCATTATAATAGCCATCTGCCTCAGTGAGTGAAAAAGCATCGATCAAAGAAAAAGGAGACTCTGTGATTGTCATTGACAGCGATAGCGATGGTGAGAAGGATCTTTCAGCCCGACGAAACCATGCTCACCTACAGGCCTCTGTCCCGCAGAGTGTTATTCAGGCTCGTCCGTCGCATCGGCCTGCAAGTATAGGTCGACCAACCAGCGTTGGCTTACCAACAAGTGGTACTAGGCCTGGGAGTGCTGGACGCCCTCTGTCTTCTGGTAAGGAACGTCTTTTGCAATACTCACTCACCCACTCACTTTGTCATACAACTGCGCTCCCTGTCAGTGCTTGACGACGCGACACCCTCTCCTGATTGTCGGTGGCAGTCTAAATGGATTGTCATTGTTCTATTCACATTGTTGTTCAGCCATGGGAATTTTCCCGTAGTCTGATGAATAAAGTGTTCTTGTATCCTTATTATTATAGTAATTAAAAGGATTGCACCAATTTAAAATCAACAATCATAGAAAAATTAATGATGTTGTAATAATCATTTTCATCCGTTTACGAGCAGTAGTGAGGTAGGGGCAGACAGAGAAAGTGCCAAGGACTCTGGCCACATAGGAGGTTGTGCCACTTGAGTAAAGAAACAAATAATAGAAAAATGGTTTGTTTAATTAGACATCGCACGTCCTTCTGGCGCCCTGGGGGCTCACTCTTAAATATTTCTATACGGGGGGGTGCCGCATTTACGGGGTATATTTTTGAGGACTTGGTAGCACAAGTGTGGGAATTATTAGGGGAGGGGGGAGTTGCAGCATTTATGGGGTATACTTGCTAGGACTTTGTAGCACAAGTGTGGGAAATAACCAGGGAGAAATTGGTAGTTAAAGTCCCTGGCCTATCCTGTGTCAAAGTGCCACGATTTTCCGCACAATGTTAGCAGGAATTTCAAGCTGGACTGGGTGCTAAGCCGGTAAGCTCCTTGCTAAGCCTACCTTCGGTACAGCCACGAGATCGCGACCGGATGGAACACTTTTTGCCATCGGGAACCAGTAAATATCAGCCCTCTCTGGCACTATTGAGCGGCCTTTTTCCTGTCGTCTTTTAGAGCACAGTACGATTTTGGTAAATGGTAGCTCAAGTCCATAAAAGATTTTCAGTAAAATAAGTAGCGAAAGTGTCTCATGTCTTGAAGTGGCTGCGGCACCCCCCTGTTTGTTTGGTTGGTATGCAAGTGAGCTCCCGGGTTCTAGCAACAGTGGGTTTCCTGCTTTGCATCTCCCGGGCAGTGAATAAATAAATAAATAATAAGTAAATACCTAAAGGGCTTTTCTCCTCGGTAAGCCTCCCTCACTTGGGGTTGTTCAACACAACCCTATTGGTGCCGCTAAAAGACAACCTGTGCATGTCAATCCATAGAGCGTGCTAAATTACGGATAATGCATTTATACTGACATAATATTTGTTGGTTTATTGTAGTGTTATTTTCTTCAACTGGTTGCGCTATCTATAGCTAGCCTAGGTCGTTATTCGGTCCGACTGCAGCTGGAATTGTTTACGAAAATGTTAGTATACAATTGCATTCAAGTAGCATATGTATGTATATTCTGAAATGTGTTGGTTAAAATAGTCTATTATGCTTTAAGTGACTTTGATGAGACTGCATGTGACTGTGTTTTTGACAAAATTTAATCAATGAGTGAGGATTATTGAGTGTTTAGAGAAGCTTACAGTTACTATATTTGAGTGATAGCTTTCATTCCAAGAACCAAAAGGTGATTGCCAATTTGTTGAACTCAGCTACGAAAATCGATCAAATTTATACTTAGAAGGCATTTTAAAACTGTTCTAAATGATTACTAGAGTATCTGAAACCAACAAATTTGATAGAATTCATATTGTTGTAATGTCTTTGAATAGATTAGTGTCTTTAGTTTGAGCTGTCAGACATGGCAGTTAGTGCTACTGTCTGCTTTCAGATGACATCTAAGAATTACTGAGCTATATTGATTACTACATACAGTATGCATTAGAGAAAAAAAAAGATATCGTCTATTTGTAGGCAATATTGTATTGAATGTGCATTTGTTGATGTTTGACTTCATTGGCTTATCATTAAAACTCGGACCGCCAGGGGTTTGAAAAAATAGTTTCAGCCACGGCCAGACTTTTTAGCGAATTTTAACTTTTTTCCAAAGCTTGTTGAGAGTGTGTATGTTATCAGATTGACATGTAATGAATACTACAAGAACTACTGTATAAACTTCTTAGCTTGAAATACTTATGGTCCAGACTGAATATAGTGTTCAAATTGTTGGTACATTTCTGTAATTACCCAATCTATCAGATTCCGTAAAAAAGCCTGAAACACAGAGATCTCCGTGTTTGCCAGTTCAAGCGTCGGGTTACCAAACACAGAGATCTCCGCATTTGGCGGGCAGAGTGTTAAGGAACAAGTATCTTAAATTATTATTGTTATTGAATTATTAAATTCTGTTGAGCTGCATTGTCGTCATTATTTTGGATTCGTTATTATTTGTTGTAGTATTACTTTAAAAAAAACTTTACATTAATTAGTTTTGGTCATGCGGATATAGAATTTTTCAAACCAGGGGAGGGCGAAGGTGCACAACATTTTCAGAATAGATAAGTGAGTAGCGTTAATTTCAATGCATAACATTGATATGCATTGAAATTTTAAAATTTAGTGGCAAACTGGTGTGGGGGGGGGGGGTGGCAGAGCACACATGCCTGGATCTGCGTCTGTTGGTCTTTCACAGTTAACCTTTTCAAAATATACTTTGAACGTGGAAACAATCAATCAGATTCATAATTTCCAACTTATATCTGCAGTGTTCTCACATTTTAGCAGTCAATTTTACCAGTAAACCAGGCTGGTGGAATAAAAACAGCACTTAATAGACCTAGGTAGCCTAGGCTGGCTTTCTTTCAATAAACGAACATCATTCCAGTCCAGACATAGGCTCTGATTATGTATATTATTGTTTTTTGAAGCCTTTGAATGTCACTTTAAAGTGGCAATACCTCACATTACTCATGTTTAGCTGGCTCTATATGGACAAATTTAACAATGAAAATATTTCAGTTGGAAGAACACTGATCTGACGACTAGATTTTCAAATTTGTTTCCGTCATATAATAATGTTAGTTTTATTACATATCCACTATATATATATAGTGCCATGATTTGAGCATTGTACCATTTTAGACATTTTTGTTCTAATTTTTAAAATTGTTCTCTTTGTGTTATTGATATACATATACAGTAGGAAAACATAGAAAGAAAGGTGTTGTGTTTCTATAATGTATGTTTTATAAGAATGTAATATTTAAATTGTGATTACCAAATGTTGATATCCAATCATACAATACCCCTCTCGCAATATCTTAATATTATCGAATAAATACCTCGAATTGAAGTCATAGGCTTCTTTTTTTCTTTTTTTTTGCGAACTTTGGATGGGTTTCTTTTCGAGATGGGCTTCTTTTCGAGGCCACTTTCGCAAAGGGAATTACTACTATAAAACAATAAATAGGGTCACTAACATCAATCAGTATCATGAAGTGTATTAACTGGCATTAAATCACCTACACTACTATGTAAACTTTATTTTGTTTGTTTGAAATTCATGTACAGTGTATGTACTGTACTATCTCGAAAAGAAGGCCATGCTAGATCTTGAAAACAAGGCAAATGGGCTTCTTTTTGAGGCTAATTTTGCAAACTTAATAGGTGGGCTTCAACTCGAGATGGGCTGCTTCTCGAGATGAAGCCCATTTTGGCTTCAATTCAAGGTTTTACGGTATACAAATTCCACACCCAAATAAAATCATTGTCTCTTACCATAACATTCCTCACCCTGCTTTATAATAATAATACCTTCCCCATTCAGCAAACAGAATTCTGTTAGTACATAAATCAATGTAATGATAGAAGCTGACAATGATGAACGAATTTAAACGAATCAAAGGGATATTATATAGGTTAACATATATTATATAGGTTAATTTAAGGCAAATCATAGTATATCCCTAAATCGTATGAAACTGGAATTGCAGATTTATAATTTATTGTAATGAAGAAGCGAAATGTAAAGAATTCATTTCATAGTCTGTAGCAGTCAAATGTTTATGATTATTGGCTGACCTCTGTCTGACCCCAGAATTTGGCCTTCTCAACCTTGACCTTTCTGGCTGAAATTGATGATTCTGTTTTTGTTTTGGTTATGGATTACCGCCAGTGTCTCGTGATGTTGAAACTAATGTGCACAGAATAATGGGATGCCGTGAACTCATTTTGTACGCATCAGTGATTTAATGATGGAACGTCCAACTCTCGGCAGCGGAGGCATAGATAATGGCAGTGTTGATGTTATTTGTTTTATGGTGCGGAAATAATGTTTGTTTTGTAATGTAAATTTGTGCAAAATAATCAAGTAGACTTTGTTATTAATATTAATGTGTGAATAAATAGTGTTATTTATATTGTGTTGTCATTTTATTTTTTTTCGAACTTGCTTATATAATAGTTATTTTTTTAGTAATATTTTACAATCTTGAAAATCTAATCAAATTGAAAAATGCGACTTGTGTACATATGTATACCGTACTATACTGTATGCGAAGCTGTATCTTAAGAAGCCTTCCAGTATCAGTCCTATGTTTAATAAAATAATAAATTAATTTTCATGTAGCGCATTGCGCTTAAAATCTCTGCGCTATACGTCAGGCAAGACCTTTTTTCATACCTTGTTTGGCGAACTTATTTTGTTAAAGATAGTCAGAGAATGGCGGAAAAAAAAATAAAATTTTGGTTCATATTTTGCATATAGTTTTTGCCAAAAAGATCTAGACGGAGGATAAAATAAAAATAAATTTGTGCTGGTGAATGTATACAATGTAATTATGTGATGCTTTTAGTTTTATATGAAATCATTATTATTGGCAGGCAACAGGTTTGATTAATAAGGTATAAAAAAGGCTCGCCTCACGAATAATGAATTGCCAAGGTGTTAAAAAATGCAATATGACACAGGATATATCGTCAGAGTGATGCAAATTTAGGAAATGCATAACGATATTATTGGCACAGGTAACATATCCATATACTAGTGGATTATGTTCATTAATAATAGTCATTAATTTTTCTACTCCATTGTTTTGTCTTTTAAATTTTGTGTCAAATGTTTTTTGTATGTGTTTTCAAATTTTCAATAAATTGATATAATTAAGTGCCCTTAAGTTTCCCAAGGGT